CTTTGATTCTTCTTCTTAATTATAATTACCGAACCAACCAATCTTTGGTTCTTCTCCTTGATTATAATTATAAAACCAGCCAATCTTTGGCGCTTCTTCTTAATTATAATTACCAAACCAACCAAACTTTGGTTCTTCTCCCTAATTAAAATTAAAAAAACAGCCAAACTTTTGTTCTTCCCCTTAATTATAATTACCAAACGAGCCAATCTTCGCTGTTTCTCCCTAATTACGGTTACCAAACCAACCCATCTTTAGCGCCAACCAATATTTGGTGCTTCTCCTTAATTATAATTGCCAAACCAACCAATCTTTGGTTCTTCTCTTTGATTATAATTACCCAAGCAAACCAATCTTTGGTGCTTCTCCTTAATTATAATTATAAAACGAGCCAATCTTTGGTGCTTCTCCCTAATTACAATTACCAAACTGACCCATCTTTAGCGCCAACCAATCTTTGGTGGTTCTCCTTATTTATAATTATAAAACCAGCTAATCTTTGGTGGTTCTCCTTAATTAAAATTACCAAACCAACCAATCTTTGTTGGTTCTCTTTAATTATAATTATAAAACGAGCCAATCTTCGCTGTTTCTCCCTAATTGCAATGACCAACCCAACCCATCTTTAGCACCAACCAATCTTTGGTGGTTCTCCTTAATTAAAATTACCAAACCAACCAATCTTTGTTGGTTCTCTTTAATTATAATTATAAAACGAGCCAATCTTCGCTGTTTCTCCCTAATTGCAATGACCAACCCAACCCATCTTTAGCACCAACCAATCTTTGGTGGTTCTGCTTAATTATAATTACCAAACGAACCAACCTTTGGTTCTTCTACCTTGATTATAATTATAAAACCAACCAATCTTTGGTGCTTCTCCTTAATTATAATTACCAAACCAACCAATCTTTAGCTACCAAACGAACCAACCTTTGGTTCTTCTCCTTGATTATAATTATAAAACCAACCAATCTTTGGTGCTTCTCCTTAATTACAATTAACAAACCAACCCATCTTTAGTACCAACCAATCTTTGATTCTTCTCCTTAATTATAATTATAAACCGAGCCAATCTTCACTGTTTCTCCCTAATTGCAATTACCAAACCAACCAATCTTTAGCGCCAACCAATCTTTGTTGGTTCTCCTTAATTACGATTATAAACCGAGCCAATCTTCACTGTTTCTCCCTAATTGCAATTACGAAACCAACCAATCTTTAGCGCCAACCAACCTTTGGCGGTTCTCCTTAATTATAATTACAAACCGAGCCAATCTTTGGTGCTTCTCCTTAATTACAATTAACAAACCAACCCATCTTTAGTACCAACCAATCTTTGATTCTTCTCCTTAATTATAATTATAAACCGAGCCAATCTTCACTGTTTCTCCCTAATTGCAATTACGAAACCAACCAATCTTTAGCGCCAACCAACCTTTGGCGGTTCTCCTTAATTATAATTACAAACCGAGCCAATCTTTGGTGCTTCTCCTTAATTACAATTAACAAACCAACCCATCTTTAGTACCAACCAATCTTTGATTCTTCTCCTTAATTATAATTATAAACCGAGCCAATCTTCACTGTTTCTCCCTAATTGCAATTACGAAACCAACCAATCTTTAGCGCCAACCAACCTTTGGCGGTTCTCCTTAATTATAATTACAAACCGAGCCAATCTTTGGTGCTTCTCCTTAATTACAATTAACAAACCAACCCATCTTTAGTACCAACCAATCTTTGATTCTTCTCCTTAATTATAATTATAAACCGAGCCAATCTTCACTGTTTCTCCCTAATTGCAATTACGAAACCAACCAATCTTTAGCGCCAACCAACCTTTGGCGGTTCTCCTTAATTATAATTACAAACCGAGCCAATCTTTGGTGCTTCTCCTTAATTACAATTAACAAACCAACCCATCTTTAGTACCAACCAATCTTTGATTCTTCTCCTTAATTATAATTATAAACCGAGCCAATCTTCACTGTTTCTCCCTAATTGCAATTACGAAACCAACCAATCTTTAGCGCCAACCAACCTTTGGCGGTTCTCCTTAATTATAATTACAAACCGAGCCAATCTTTGGTGCTTCTCCTTAATTACAATTAACAAACCAACCCATCTTTAGTACCAACCAATCTTTGATTCTTCTCCTTAATTATAATTATAAACCGAGCCAATCTTCACTGTTTCTCCCTAATTGCAATTACGAAACCAACCAATCTTTAGCGCCAACCAACCTTTGGCGGTTCTCCTTAATTATAATTACAAACCGAGCCAATCTTTGGTGCTTCTCCTTAATTACAATTAACAAACCAACCCATCTTTAGTACCAACCAATCTTTGATTCTTCTCCTTAATTATAATTATAAACCGAGCCAATCTTCACTGTTTCTCCCTAATTGCAATTACGAAACCAACCAATCTTTAGCGCCAACCAACCTTTGGCGGTTCTCCTTAATTATAATTACAAACCGAGCCAATCTTTGGTGCTTCTCCTTAATTACAATTAACAAACCAACCCATCTTTAGTACCAACCAATCTTTGATTCTTCTCCTTAATTATAATTATAAACCGAGCCAATCTTCACTGTTTCTCCCTAATTGCAATTACGAAACCAACCAATCTTTAGCGCCAACCAACCTTTGGCGGTTCTCCTTAATTATAATTACAAACCGAGCCAATCTTTGGTGCTTCTCCTTAATTACAATTAACAAACCAACCCATCTTTAGTACCAACCAATCTTTGATTCTTCTCCTTAATTATAATTATAAACCGAGCCAATCTTCACTGTTTCTCCCTAATTGCAATTACGAAACCAACCAATCTTTAGCGCCAACCAACCTTTGGCGGTTCTCCTTAATTATAATTACAAACCGAGCCAATCTTTGGTGCTTCTCCTTAATTACAATTAACAAACCAACCCATCTTTAGTACCAACCAATCTTTGATTCTTCTCCTTAATTATAATTATAAACCGAGCCAATCTTCACTGTTTCTCCCTAATTGCAATTACGAAACCAACCAATCTTTAGCGCCAACCAACCTTTGGCGGTTCTCCTTAATTATAATTACAAACCGAGCCAATCTTTGGTGCTTCTCCTTAATTACAATTAACAAACCAACCCATCTTTAGTACCAACCAATCTTTGATTCTTCTCCTTAATTATAATTATAAACCGAGCCAATCTTCACTGTTTCTCCCTAATTGCAATTACGAAACCAACCAATCTTTAGCGCCAACCAACCTTTGGCGGTTCTCCTTAATTATAATTACAAACCGAGCCAATCTTTGGTGCTTCTCCTTAATTACAATTAACAAACCAACCCATCTTTAGTACCAACCAATCTTTGATTCTTCTCCTTAATTATAATTATAAACCGAGCCAATCTTCACTGTTTCTCCCTAATTGCAATTACGAAACCAACCAATCTTTAGCGCCAACCAACCTTTGGCGGTTCTCCTTAATTATAATTACAAACCGAGCCAATCTTTGGTGCTTCTCCTTAATTACAATTAACAAACCAACCCATCTTTAGTACCAACCAATCTTTGATTCTTCTCCTTAATTATAATTATAAACCGAGCCAATCTTCACTGTTTCTCCCTAATTGCAATTACGAAACCAACCAATCTTTAGCGCCAACCAACCTTTGGCGGTTCTCCTTAATTATAATTACAAACCGAGCCAATCTTTGGTGCTTCTCCTTAATTACAATTAACAAACCAACCCATCTTTAGTACCAACCAATCTTTGATTCTTCTCCTTAATTATAATTATAAACCGAGCCAATCTTCACTGTTTCTCCCTAATTGCAATTACGAAACCAACCAATCTTTAGCGCCAACCAACCTTTGGCGGTTCTCCTTAATTATAATTACAAACCGAGCCAATCTTTGGTGCTTCTCCTTAATTACAATTAACAAACCAACCCATCTTTAGTACCAACCAATCTTTGATTCTTCTCCTTAATTATAATTATAAACCGAGCCAATCTTCACTGTTTCTCCCTAATTGCAATTACGAAACCAACCAATCTTTAGCGCCAACCAACCTTTGGCGGTTCTCCTTAATTATAATTACAAACCGAGCCAATCTTTGGTGCTTCTCCTTAATTACAATTAACAAACCAACCCATCTTTAGTACCAACCAATCTTTGATTCTTCTCCTTAATTATAATTATAAACCGAGCCAATCTTCACTGTTTCTCCCTAATTGCAATTACGAAACCAACCAATCTTTAGCGCCAACCAACCTTTGGCGGTTCTCCTTAATTATAATTACAAACCGAGCCAATCTTTGGTGCTTCTCCTTAATTACAATTAACAAACCAACCCATCTTTAGTACCAACCAATCTTTGATTCTTCTCCTTAATTATAATTATAAACCGAGCCAATCTTCACTGTTTCTCCCTAATTGCAATTACGAAACCAACCAATCTTTAGCGCCAACCAATCTTTGTTGGTTCTCCTTAATTATAATTATGATTATAAACCGAGCCAACTTTCGCTGTTTCTCCCTAATTGCAATTACCAACCCAATCACCTCCCCGCCCCTGCAGGTGATCCGCACCGACACCTTCAAGCACCTGCGCCACCTGGAGATCCTCCAGCTCAGCCGCAACCTGGTGCGCAAGGTGGAGGTGGGCGCCTTCAACGGGCTGCCCAACCTCAACACCCTGGAGCTCTTCGACAACCGCCTGACCACGGTGCCCACGCAGGCCTTCGAGTACCTGTCCAAGCTGCGCGAGCTCTGGCTGAGGAACAACCCCATCGAGAGCATCCCCAGCTACGCCTTCAACCGCGTGCCCTCGCTGCGCCGCCTCGACCTGGGCGAGCTCAAGCGCCTGGAGTACATCTCCGAGGCCGCTTTCGAGGGTTTGGTCAACCTGCGCTACCTCAACTTGGGCATGTGCAACCTCAAGGAGATCCCCAACCTGACGGCGCTGGTGAGGCTGGAGGAGCTGGAGCTGTCCGGGAACCGCCTGGGCCGGGTGCGGCCGGGCTCCTTCCAGGGTTTGGGCAGCTTGAGGAAGCTGTGGCTGATGCACGCGCGGGTGGCGGCGGTGGAGCGCAACGCCTTCGACGACCTGAAGGCGCTGGAGGAGTTGAACCTGGCTCACAACGACCTGGCCTCGCTGCCCCACGACCTCTTCGCGCCGCTGCACCGGCTGGAGCGCGTGCACCTGCACCATAACCCCTGGCGCTGCGACTGCGACGTGCTGTGGCTCAGCTGGTGGCTGCGCGAGACCGTGCCCAGCAACACCAGCTGCTGCGCCCGCTGCCACGCGCCGCCGGCGCTGCGCGGCCGCTACCTGGGCGAGCTGGAGCCCGGCCACTTCACCTGCTACGCGCCGGTCATCGTGGAGCCGCCGGCCGACCTCAACGTCACCGAGGGCATGGCGGCCGAGCTCAAGTGCCGCACGGGCACGGCCATGACGTCGGTCAACTGGTTGACGCCTAACGGGACGCTGATGACGCACGGCTCGTACCGCGTGCGCATCTCGGTGCTGCACGACGGCACGCTCAACTTCACCAACGTCACCGTGCAGGACACCGGCCAGTACACCTGCATGGTCACCAACGCCGCCGGCAACACCACGGCCACCGCCACGCTCAACGTCTCGGCCGCCGACGCCGCCGCGGCCGCCGCGGCGCCTCCACGGCCGCCCCGGCCACGCGCGCCACCGGCAAACCCTTCACCGTGCCCATCACGGCGGCGGCGGCCGGCGCGGCGGCCGGGGGAGGTCTCCAAGACCTGGACGACGTCTTGAAGACCACCAAGATCATCATCGGCTGCTTCGTGGCCATCACCTTCATGGCCGCCGTCATGCTGGTGGCCTTCTACAAGCTCCGCAAGCAGCACCAGCGCCACAAGCACCGCGGCGGCCCGGCGCGCGCCGTGGAGATCGTCAACGTCGAGGACGAGCTGGCCGGAGGTCCCGCCGGGGGAGGAGGGGGCGGCGGTCCCGGCGGCGGAGCCGGGACGGGCGGGGACAACCGGTTGGCGTTGCCGGCGTTGGAGAGGGAGCACCTGGACAGGTACGCGGCGCTGGCCGCCCACTACGGGGGCCCGGCGGCGGCGCTGGGCTGCGGGAAGACGCCGCTGCTCAACTCGGTGCACGAGCCGCTGCTCTTCAAGAGCCCCTCCAAGGAGAACGTGCAGGAGACGCAGATCTGAGATTTTTTTTTTGGGGGGGTGGGATTTATTCCCCCGCGCCCACCCACCCCCGTGACCCAGCCGGGAAAAGATTTTGGGGGAGAGAGGAGGGGGAGAGAAAAGAAAAAAAAAAAAAAAAAGGGGGGAAATGTAGGGGAGACTCTGGAGGAAGTGGGGGGAGAGGAGGTGAGGAAATGGGGGGAAATCTCCCAAAAATGTGGGGGAAACTCCTGGAAAAATGTGTGGAAAAGCTGTTGGGAAGGAGGGGGGAAATCCCCAAAAATGGGGGGGAAACGGCTAAAAAATGGGGGGGGAGACTCCGGAAAAATTGGGGGAGACTCCTAAAAAATTGGGGGAGACTCCTAAAAAATGTGGAGGAAAATCCTTAAGAAGTGGGGAGGAAACTCCTAAAAAATGGGGTGAAACTTTAAAAAAAAGTGGAGGAAAATCCCCCCAAAAATGGGGGGGAAAGTGCTAAAAAATGGGGAGGAGACTCTTGAAAAATGTGGGGGAATCTCCTGAAAATTTGGAGGAAAATCCCCAAAAACTGAGTGGGGAAAACCCCAAAAATGTGGGGGAAAACCCTAAAAAATTTCGGGGAAAATGTTAAAAAAATGTGGAGGAGATTCTGAGAAATGTGGGGAAAACGCCCCAAAAAAAATGGGGGGAAAATCCTTAAAAAATGGGGGGAAATCCCAAAAAAATGGGGAGAAATTCCTAAAAAATGGGGAGAAAATCCCAAAAAAATGGGGGGAAATCCCTAAAAAATGTGGGGGAAATGCTGTGAAAAATTTTGGAGGAAAGCTTCAAAAATAGGAGGGGAACCCTAAAAAATGTAGGGGAAAAGGGTGAAAAAATGTGGAGGAAAATCCCCAAAATAATTGGGGGAAACCCCGAAAAATGTGGAGGAAAATCCCCAAAAATTGGGGGAGACCCCCCAAAAAAAAAGTGGGAAATCACCCCAAAAAGTGTGGGAGAAAATCCCCCCAGGAAATGGGGAAAACCCTAAAAAAAAAAGGACAAACCCTAAAAAATGTGGTGGAACCACCAAAAAAATTTAGGGGACCCCCCCAAAAAATTCAGGGGAACCCCCCCGGAACTGCGGACCTGAAGGAAACCCCCCAAAAAATTGGGGACCCCCCCACCCTAAATCGGTGTTGGATGGGATGGAAAACCCCCAAAAAATGGGGGGACCCCCCCCAAAAATGGGGAGGACCCCCCCCAATCCCTGAACTACGGACTTGGAGATGAAGACCCCCAAAAATGGGGGGAATCCCCCCAAAAATGGGGGTGGGACCCCCCCCCAAAACCACGGACCTGGAGCTGAACCCCCCCCCCAAATAAAAATTTGGGGTGCGGGACCCCCACGAACTTTGGACCTGTTGCTGCTCCCCCCCAAAAAAATTTGGGGTGCGGGACCCCCCCCTCACGTGCGGAGCTGAAGAGGAGGGGTGGTTTAGGATCGGTTTGGGGTGGGTTTTGAGGATTTTGGGTGGGTTCTGTGGGTTTTGGGGCAGTTTTAGGAGGGTTTGTTTTGTTTTGGGCGGTTTAGGACAGGCTTGGATTGTTTTGAGCTGGTTTGGGGTGGTTTCAGGGGATTTTTGGGCGGGTTTTGGATGTTTTAGGGTGGTTTGGGTTGGCTTTGGATGATTTTGGGGTGGTTTAGGGTGGATTTGGGGTGGTTTAGGACGGGTTTGAGGGGTTTGGGGTTGGTTTTTGGGGATTTTTGGGGTGATTTTTGGGTGTGAATGACCCCGGACCAGGACATCCCTTGGCGTGGCTGAGAACACTCCAAAACTGCCCCAAAATCACCCCAAAAATACCCAAAAACAATCCCAAAAACACCCCCAAACCTCACTCAAAATAACATCCAAAAAAAGTTTCAAACATATCCCAAAACCACCCCAAAAATACCCCAAGCCCACCCCAAAATTCCCCCCAAAATACTCCAAAAATGACACCAAATTACCCCCCCAACCACCCCAAAATTCCCCTAAAAATACCCCTCAAAAATACCCTGAACCCCTCACCAAAACCACCCCAAAAATATCCTAAAACCACCCCAAAAAAATCCCCAAAATCCCGCCCAAAAGGTCCCAAAACAATTCTAAGTTACCCCAAAAAATCCCCAAAAGGGACACCGAAAATATCCCAAAATTCCCCAAAAAAACTCATTAAAATTACACCAAAACTACCCGAAATTACCCCCAAAAGCCACCCCAAAATACCCTAAAATCCCCCAAAGATATCCTAAAAACACCCCAAAAATTCCTTCAAAACACCCAAAATACCCAAAACTACTTAAAATACCCCAAACCCACCAAAATCCCCCAATTTCCCCCAAAATACCCCCTACCCGAAATTACTCCCAAAAGCCACCCCAAAAAAACCCCAAAATACTCTAAAATCCCCCAAAGATATCCTAAAAACACCCCAAAAATTCCTTCAAAACACCCAAAATACCCAAAACTACTTAAAATACCCCAAACCCACCAAAATCCCCCAATTTCCCCCAAAATCCCCTAAACCCATCCCAAGTTATCCTAAAATCGCCCCTGAAATACCCCAAAATCCCCACAAATTACCTAAAAATACCCAAAACGCACCCAAAAATACCCAAAGCGACCAAAAATCTCCCCGAATTCCTCCCTAAAAAACCCCAAAAAGACCCAAAATCTCCTAAAACCGCCCCAAAATCGCCCCAGGTCCCGGGGGGGGGGCTCTCCTCCCCTCGCTGTTCCCGTTCCCATGGGAACAGCGCGGGGGGGGCGCTGCGGATGCGCGGTTGCCATGGGAACGGCGCGGAGGGAGGAGGGACGCGGCGTTGCCATGGCGACAGCGGCGCGGGGGGAGGAAGCATAACCGTGGGAACAGCAGAAGTGTTCCCATGGCAACGGGAACAGCGGCGCGGAGGGGGGGCGGGTTTAGGGGGGAACGGCGGTTGCCATGGGAACGGGAGGTTCCCTTGGCAACGGGAACAGTGGGGGGGGTGCGGGAATCGCTCCCCTCCCACCGGAAAAATGGGATCGGGGAGGGTGATCCAAAAATGGGATCCCCCAAAAAAATTTGGGTCTCAAGGGTACGACCCCCCCCAAAATTTGGGGTCCTAAGGGTGCGACACGCCCCCAAATTAAGGGACCCCCAAAAAAAATTGGGGTTCGCCCCCAAATAGGGACACTGAAGCGCGACCCCCCCCCCAAAAATTTGGGGACCCCCTTAAAAAAGGGACCCAAATGTGCGACCCTTCCCCAAAAAATGGAAACCTCCCGCACAAAATTTGGGGCCTCAAAGGTGCGACCACCCCAAAAAGTGGCGACCCCACCCAAAAAAAGGCAGCCAAGGATGCGACCCCCCCCCAAAAAATTAAACTCCCCAAAATTTGGGGACCCCCCAAAAAAGGGACCCTGGACTGCGACCCTCCCCCCCAAAATTTTGGGCCCCCTCCCCCCAAAATGTGGGTTCCCAAGGGTGTGAACCCCCCAACATTTGGAAATTTGGGGATACCCTCAAAAAAAGGAACGCAAGGGTGACACCCCCTCCCAAAAATGGGACTCCCCCCAAAATTTGGGGTCCCCCCAAAAAGGTTTCCAAGGCTGTGACCCTACCCCAAAAATGGAACCCTCCCAAAATTTGGGGACCCCTCCCCAAAATAAGGGACCTTGGAGTGCAACATTCCTCCTCAAAATTTGGCGTCCCAAAGAACGTCCCTTTTCCCCGAGAAAAGGACACCCCAAAAAAATTGGGAAGATCCCAAAATTGGGGTCCCAAGGGTGCAACTTCTTCCAAAAATTTGGGATCACCTCCCAAAATTGGTGTCCTAAGAGTGTGACCCCCCCAGAAAAATGGAGACCACCCCAAAAATATGGGGTCCCAAGAGTGCGACTGCCCTAAAATTTGGGGTCCCCTCCCCAAAAAAGAGTCCTATGAATGCAACCCCACTCCAAAAATGGAACCCCTCCCACCAAAATTTGGGGACCCCTACCCAAAAAAGGGACCCCAGAGTCCGATTTGGGGGAATCTCATGATTTGGGGAGGGGGTCTGACATTCCCAAAATACACACAAACACACACCCAGGCGGGACCCCCCAAATTCCCCCAAAATCCACTGCAAGGACTTACTGAGGCCATGGCAGCATGAAGGAAACAAAGAACCCCAGGGCTCTTTTTTGGTCATTTTTCTCACCATTTTGCCTTTTTTACTCACATTTCCCCTCAAATTTCCCACCATTTTTCCTCTCACACTTCCTGTCTTTCTGTCCCTTCACATTTCCCATCGTTTCTGGCCTCATGTTGTCTGCTTTTTTTCCCTTTTTTTTCCTCTCATGTTTCATTCATTTTTCTCCCCTCATTTTTTCCACCCTTTTTCCCCCCCTCATTTTCCCCTTCCCCTTTCTCCCCTCACATTTCCCTTTTTTCCCCTTCTGTTTCCTACCTTTCCTCCCTCTCATTTCCTGTCCTTTTCACTCAAGTTTACTTTCTTTTTTTCCTTCCTTTCCCACCTTTCTTTCCCCTCACATTTCCCCCCTTTTTTCCCCTCACGTTTCCCGCTCTTTTCCCCCTCATGTTTCCTTCCCCTTTCTCCCTTCCTATTTCCCACCTTTTCTCCCCTCGTCCATACCTTTTTTTCCTCTCATTTCCCATCCTTTTTGCTCAAATTTGTTGTCCTTTTTGCCTTCAGTTTGCTGCCTTTTCTCCCCTCACGTTTCCCGCCCTTTTCTCCCTCACATTTCCCACTCTTTTCCCCCTCATGTTTCCTTCTCCTTTCTCCCCTCATGTTTCCCACCTTTTCTCCCCTTGTTTCATACCTTGTTTTCCTCTAATTTCCCATCCTTTTCGCTCACATTTGTTGTCCTTTTTGCCTTCAGTTTGCTGCCTTTTCTCCCCTCACGTTTCCCACTCTTTTCCCCCTCACATTTCCTTCCCCTTTCTCCCCTCACGTTTCCCAACTTTTCTCCCCTCGTCCATACCTTTTTTTCCTCTCATTTCCCATCCTTTTCGCTCAAATTTATTGTCCTTTTTGCCTTCAGTTTGCTGCCTTTTCTCCCCTCACGTTTCCCCTCTCATTTCCCATCCTTTTTGCTCAAATTTGTTGTCCTTTT